TTTTCCACATTTCGTTTTTCTCCCTTAATAACAAAATTGTCCATTCTGATGCTCAGTTTTACCGAACTAATGGCTGCTGATGACTATTTAAATTGAAGTGCGCGCTTGTAAGTGTTCGTTAAATGTGTAACGTTAATTACGTGAGTACAGGTCTGCTCATGTCTGAAAATAATATATTAAAAACAAAATTATTTTACATAACAAAAACATTATAGCTTATATTTGTTTAGTACATTTTAAATTAATGTAAAAACGAAAATGAATTGTAAAACTGAAAGTTATTTTTTTTAAATTGTGTTCAGTGGGCCGCATTTGAATTCGTGACAGGCCGCGGGTTGAGAACCACTGGACAGAGGAACTGTGGCAGTTGAACTCCAAAGTAGCCATTAATAGCAGATTTTTTTTTCCCAGTAATTGACTTTGTTCTGTGATAGTTTGAATAGGAGCTGCTGGTTGTATTTAAAACTGGTCCATTCCATTGACCATGAAACATGTTGTAATAATGGCTGGAAAAACATTTTAAGCTAGGGTTTTCCGATAAATCAATATTTATAAAAAAAAACTTCACTTCATAATAAAAGCTATTATCAAATACACACTGAATCTCAAATGTCTTCATGACAAATTGGCAACATAAAGGAATTGAGGAAATTATGACAGAAATATAATACTATTGTATAGTAAATTGTACTTCTCAACGTAATAATAATTACATTTTTAAAACATTATCACTATTATTATTTTTGTTGTTGCTGCTGTTGCAAGGAATATCATGCAACCAAGATATTTTTTTTCATATCTACATTTATTGTTGTGGTCTATCAAACATGTGGCAATGCATTTCCTTCCCTGTTAATGGTATGAAATGAATATTATGATAAATATCAATATTGTATTATTTATATATATATATATATATATATATAGTGAAATATATATTTGGCCATGCCATCCAGCCCTATTTTAAGCTTCCCAGTACCAAACAGGTGGAGTTTATAGAGTTGTGAAATTACTTTTAAGCTTTGTGTCAGTGTCATACACACGTTTGGAATATCCAGGGCACTTTGTCCTTGGGTGATGAAAAAATGCATGCGCGCATCAATGCTTCCAAAGGGAACAGATGGTTTGGCATTGCAGTAAGCGTACTTTACTGCTCAAAGCCCCCAAGTAATAAGAGAACACCCATCAACACTTTCTGGTTCTGCTGTCTGGACTTTCAGTCTCCGTGTCCCACTTCAGGATGACTTTTCAAAAAACTTTTGACCTTTCCTGTTGGCAGCCCCATCATTGCTCTTTTAATTTGAGCTCAGCTTCATGTCAGATGTTTTAAATATCTCTGATAATGGTGATTTTGGAGTTGTTGTCCTTCTCAACTGTGTCCAGCAATTCTAAACATTATAAACTTTATATATTTTACATAATGTGTGAAATTGGTATTAAATGTTTCATTCCATGTCCTATTAGTAAATGACGTAATCAAAAAATAAATAAAAATTGGTAACAGGACTAATTGATTGATTGATTTTAATTGCATATTTTTATTAGTAAATGACAGAATCACACAGAAAGACAGTCCCAAGTTGCAAACTGCAAGCCTTGTAAATTAACAGAAGGTTAAAAAGCTCATATAATATTTAATTTCCCCTTCTCTGGTTGATGATCAACATCATCTGAAGATTAAGAATCTCTCACTGAGTTTCAGGCCCTATTTTGTACTCTATTCATGAAAGTACCAAATAGTTAATGAGAAAAACAACAGTACATTAACAAGCAATAATCCTCAACAGAAATGTTACTCATTGGTTTCCTCAAGCATTTTTGGATGCATTACATCATGTCAGGTAATCATGGCATAGAAGGCGCACAGCCTGAAAACAAACATTAGTTTAATTTATAATAGCTCTGTTGGTGTCATGTACTTCTAGGCAGATATTTCTCTCTAACAGCACACATTCTCTAAACAATGAGTGTTGAGAGTAGAGCACTAGTGGCATGAAGCGTTTATCAGGATATCTGACTCTTGCTGTGCTGTTGGCAGATGTTGACTGGTGTGGTGCCCTGAGCTGCAGATAGTTTCTTAATTGAAGTCCTTGCTGAGGGGATCATAAGAGGACAGACGCTAGGGCTCAAAGGGAGAGAAAAGCAGAGAGCAGCCATTAAGAACTGACTGAGTCTGCGGCACATAGGGGATTTGGGTCTGTTGAAACTCAATTTAAAACAATAATTTGTTTTTGAAGCCTCTGGAATGTTGTCAAGATCGTGCTTTTATTATATAAGAATTGGTTATTGGTTTCATCACCTTATAATGTTTGTGCTGACTTTAAATGATTCAATGGATGTGCAGCAAAGTGGTTTGATTTAATATTTGATACCCACTCGAAAGTGTTTTTCCGAAATGAAAATAGGCTCCAATGTTTCCTTTTTACAGTAATGTTTTTTAAATATCTTCGATGATGTAGAAAAGCAAATCAAGCTCCTCTGAGAATTTAGCAGACAGTTCACAATACATTTATTACCACATACTGTATCTCTGTTTAGTAGTTGTTTTAAGCCCCAGGACCATGAAAATATGAATTTTCAGTTTGGAGCCTTTATTTCAAATATGTTGAATGCATTAAAAATTTTACTTTTTTTGCCAAGGGAAATATTGTATGATGCACCTTGAGAAGAAAAATGTTTTTAAAGTTTTGAAGCTACCATAATGATTCAGTTAACATTCATAAATTGCTATTCATTTGGGATGCAAAACTGTATATATTGTTCTTTTTTTGGTTATGACCCTCTTTAATGTTACAGCCAGATGTGCTGGAGCAGATCCATAGTTTAAAAGAGCTGTGGTTGGACAACAATTCATTACAAACCATACCAGGGGTAAGCAATTTCAAAAATATATTAGAATTCCAGAGTTAGCATCTATTGCATGTACTAAATGTCAGCCCTGTTATAGATTTCATAAATTTAAAATACTTTTAAAGCTTTCATTTATGAAACATTTTGTCATTATGTACACACTCCCATATCATTCCGGTTGGAAGAACTTGAGTGTGAGTTAATGATGAGAACATCTTTGGGGGAACTATTGGAATTTGACAACATGACATTTTAGTACTCTAGTACTAGGCTATAATATATGTACTGTATAAAGCATAATATATTATTTATTTCATTTATCTCCTTGTCATCTCCTTGAAGTCTGTTGGGAAACTGAGGCAGCTGCGATATTTCGACTTGGCCAAGAACAGGATTGAGAGTCTAGATGCAGATATCTCTGGCTGTGAGTCCTTAGAGGATCTACTCCTCTCCTCCAACATGCTGCAACAGTTACCTGATTCAATAGGTGAAGTTCCACTGATTATTTTTGTTGAAATATTTGGGTTTTTAGTTTTCAGTATAAGAAATGCTGTGTCTTTACAATGTTAAAACATCTTTCACAGGAAAGTTGAAAAAATTGACAACATTAAAAGTTGATGACAACCAGCTCACCTCACTGCCTAACACCATTGGAAGGTTAGTAACTAATTTACGACTCATTCAGCTGTGTAAAAGAAAAATGAAAAGGCAGAAAATACTGTCTTAGATCGTAATCCCTGAACATTCCTCTAATGAACAGGTTTTTTTTTTTTTCAAGTTTATGGAATTTTGTTGTGGTTTATAGCCATATAATAGGCCTGATGCTTAGGGTGGTCAGTACAGCCTTTAATGACTTGAACCATTGTAATTATTTATATACAGTTTTTTTATGATGACATTCGATGACATTGCACTGTAGCTTGTATTCTCTGTATTGGATTTTTCACTGAATTGCCATCTGGGGCACGACATAACAATTCTGCTGTCATTCTGGCAGTTGTTCTCACCCCAGCATGAGAAAATGCTAAAGTGCTGACTGTCAACTTCAGTGTGACTCTCAGCAATGTTAGCAATGTCTTTCCATCTTTATTACCTATATTAGAGGGAAACAATGTGTGCAGTCAATAGGAAAAAACATGAGATTCTGGAATTAAAGTGTACAATTAATAAAAAATCCTAAAAAGAAATAATTGGATCATAGTATATTGTTTATCCAAAATGTACATTGATATTTGATACCTTTTAGCTATACCTAAATTAATAGTTTAATCTTTTTTTTTTGGTCATTCTACAAAATGAGTGCCATTTATGTCTCTCATACACTACCATTCAAACGTCTGGGGTCAGTATTATAATTTTTTTATTATTATTATTCAGCAAGGAGGCATTAAATTGATCAAACATGTCAGTTAAAATTAAATTAAACAAAAAAAAAACTGTCAACCCTGTAACCTTTCTGATGGCATAATTATATCGCAGCATATATTAAAATTAGTTACTTAATTAAGACTGAAAATATTACCTTATATTGGTCTGATAAAATCTTCCTCAAATTAATTTTACAAATTGCTAATCAAACTTGCGAATCAGTCTTAGGATTTTTAATGCAAAATCAAATGGGAAATTCAGGGACAAGGTGTATATAAACCATATTTCATAGCATCTTTGAATTAAGAGGTCATATTTTTTGCAGACTGCCTTTTTCATTTGTCATAGCTGTCACCACTACTTCATTCCTGTGATACTATACTCCATGCATCTCTCTTCTTGGTTTGTCATTGCTCGGTTCTGTGTGTTGTGTTAATCAAACATGCATCTTAAATGGGCACTTCAGTGCACGTGGCAAAACCGGGTAAGTAGACCAGCGAGTGTTTGTATTCCCCACACGTCTGCCACAGCATGTTTATTTAGGCAAGGGCATACCTTTGCATCCATATCTCGCTTAAAGAGACACAATGAAAGCCCTGCATATGGAAAGCCAGCTGGACCAGTCTGCTAGAACAAATGTTGGACTAATGACCTTACTTAGCTTAACAAATATACATCGACCTCTTTCAAATGGATTAAATTTAAATAAGACAAAAAAAGAGGAAAAAGAACTAACTAAATTACAGGAAGATTGCAAGGAAAAAAATGTTTGAAATGAATAATGTGAGGTCCATTACTAAAAGCACTGAAACTTGTTTGACTCAATAAACACTGTGGCATATACCAGATCATTGTAAATGTTATAAACTAACATAAGGTATGCTTTAAGAGCCCAGTATTTTGCAAGATAAGAGTGCTTTTTACAACCACCCTAATCGTATTTCAGTATAGCATATTTAGTAAATTCATCATCAGTCCCTTTAACATGTCTTCTGTTAATTCATACCTTTTTTACGTGGAGACAATGGTTCCACATAACTCATAATTCTCATTTTCTATTAACAAAACTAATCTTAAAATTATGAGCCATAGATACTGACACTACTTAAATTCAGTGTACTTAAGCCTGGATATTTTGTTTGCATATTGTAAACATTTGAATGGGATGTTAGAATGTGAATTCCTTATTAAAGGAATAGGTTACGTTTCATCATTTTCTCACCTTCATTTTGTTCCAATCTTCTATTATTCTGTGGAACACTAAAGTATAAATGTTGATGAATGTACTGGTCGCTTTTTTCCAATGAACAGGAACTGGGCCTGTCAAGTTCCAAAATGACAAAGTAGCACCATAAGCATCATCTGTACTGCATAGTCCAAGTCTTCTGAAACTGTGTTAATATGAAGGAATTTTCCGTATTGGTTTTTCACAGGTGTTAAAGTACATATTTTAAATTATGCATTGAATTTTTTTTTTTTCAAGTTTATGGAATTTTGTTGTGGTTTATAGCCATATAATAGGCCTGATGCTTAGGGTGGTCAGTACAGCCTTTAATGACTTGAACCATTGTAATTATTTATATACAGTTTTTTTATGATGACATTCGATGACATTGCACTGTAGCTTGTATTCTCTGTATTGGATTTTTCACTGAATTGCCATCTGGGGCACGACATAACAATTCTGCTGTCATTCTGGCAGTTGTTCTCACCCCAGCATGAGAAAATGCTAAAGTGCTGACTGTCAACTTCAGTGTGACTCTCAGCAATGTTAGCAATGTCTTTCCATCTTTATTACCTATATTAGAGGGAAACAATGTGTGCAGTCAATAGGAAAAAACATGAGATTCTGGAATTAAAGTGTACAATTAATAAAAAATCCTAAAAAGAAATAATTGGATCATAGTATATTGTTTATCCAAAATGTACATTGATATTTGATACCTTTTAGCTATACCTAAATTAATAGTTTAATCTTTTTTTTTTGGTCATTCTACAAAATGAGTGCCATTTATGTCTCTCATACACTACCATTCAAACGTCTGGGGTCAGTATTATAATTTTTTTATTATTATTATTCAGCAAGGAGGCATTAAATTGATCAAACATGTCAGTTAAAATTAAATTAAACAAAAAAAAAACTGTCAACCCTGTAACCTTTCTGATGGCATAATTATATCGCAGCATATATTAAAATTAGTTACTTAATTAAGACTGAAAATATTACCTTATATTGGTCTGATAAAATCTTCCTCAAATTAATTTTACAAATTGCTAATCAAACTTGCGAATCAGTCTTAGGATTTTTAATGCAAAATCAAATGGGAAATTCAGGGACAAGGTGTATATAAACCATATTTCATAGCATCTTTGAATTAAGAGGTCATATTTTTTGCAGACTGCCTTTTTCATTTGTCATAGCTGTCACCACTACTTCATTCCTGTGATACTATACTCCATGCATCTCTCTTCTTGGTTTGTCATTGCTCGGTTCTGTGTGTTGTGTTAATCAAACATGCATCTTAAATGGGCACTTCAGTGCACGTGGCAAAACCGGGTAAGTAGACCAGCGAGTGTTTGTATTCCCCACACGTCTGCCACAGCATGTTTATTTAGGCAAGGGCATACCTTTGCATCCATATCTCGCTTAAAGAGACACAATGAAAGCCCTGCATATGGAAAGCCAGCTGGACCAGTCTGCTAGAACAAATGTTGGACTAATGACCTTACTTAGCTTAACAAATATACATCGACCTCTTTCAAATGGATTAAATTTAAATAAGACAAAAAAAGAGGAAAAAGAACTAACTAAATTACAGGAAGATTGCAAGGAAAAAAATGTTTGAAATGAATAATGTGAGGTCCATTACTAAAAGCACTGAAACTTGTTTGACTCAATAAACACTGTGGCATATACCAGATCATTGTAAATGTTATAAACTAACATAAGGTATGCTTTAAGAGCCCAGTATTTTGCAAGATAAGAGTGCTTTTTACAACCACCCTAATCGTATTTCAGTATAGCATATTTAGTAAATTCATCATCAGTCCCTTTAACATGTCTTCTGTTAATTCATACCTTTTTTACGTGGAGACAATGGTTCCACATAACTCATAATTCTCATTTTCTATTAACAAAACTAATCTTAAAATTATGAGCCATAGATACTGACACTACTTAAATTCAGTGTACTTAAGCCTGGATATTTTGTTTGCATATTGTAAACATTTGAATGGGATGTTAGAATGTGAATTCCTTATTAAAGGAATAGGTTACGTTTCATCATTTTCTCACCTTCATTTTGTTCCAATCTTCTATTATTCTGTGGAACACTAAAGTATAAATGTTGATGAATGTACTGGTCGCTTTTTTCCAATGAACAGGAACTGGGCCTGTCAAGTTCCAAAATGACAAAGTAGCACCATAAGCATCATCTGTACTGCATAGTCCAAGTCTTCTGAAACTGTGTTAATATGAAGGAATTTTCCGTATTGGTTTTTCACAGGTGTTAAAGTACATATTTTAAATTATGCATTGAATTGTGTTTGGTTTTAGGGTGAATGTCTGTAAACTTAAAGGGGTCATATGATGTTGCTAAAAAATAACATTATTTTGTGTATTTGGTGTAATGAAATTTGTTTATGCGGCTTAAGGTTCAAAAAACACATTATTTTCCACATACTGTACATTATTGTCTCTCCTCTATGCCTTTCTGAAACGCGTTGATTTTTACAAAGCTCATCGGTCTGAAAAGCGAGGTGT